ATGATGAAGATCTGGAGACATGCAAATCCCTTCAGGATCACATTCCACCTCTTTGTGTGTGTGTGTGTGTGTGTGTGTGTGTGTGTGTGTGTGTGTGTGTGAGTGTGAGTGTTCACATGTACACATATGCTTATGAAGTGTCTACTCAGTCTGTGCATGTGTTCTGTCTTTCGTATGCGTGCGTGCTGTCTTGTGTGACCCAACACATGTATTCTTTTTCATGGATGTTTGCGTGCCCATAACAATGAGCCAGTGAGCTGCTCATTAGCAAGCTGCTTTATTCATCCTGGATGGTCCTCAGTGGAAAGAGGAGACACAAGCTGAACGAAGCGCCACCCCCGCCATCGGCAGCAAAGCCTGGGTCAGGAGAGGTACCAGCTCTTGTCTGTCAAGACCATCCACTTACTGGAGTGTACTGCAGCTCTTTCCTGAGCGGCGATCAATCAGTTCACATGTTCCTCACGCTCAACTCATATAGATTTCAGCCTGAAAGCAGTTAAATATGCAAATGTCTCTGAAGCCTCGGAGTTTGTTGCTGTTAAGTAATTCTACCCTTTTGTCGTGCTTTTTTCTCGACCACATTTGCAGCCTGAGTGGCAGTTGTGACTACTTAAAGCTGTGCCACGAGTCAATGAAGAGCTCAAGTCGTATTTGTGTTCCACTGTGCAAGCAACTACTTGATTTAATAACGCTGTTTTATGAAGCATGATTCATATTTCAAAGGACGCATATCTGGAGTGGAAATAATTCAGCACTAGGGCTTAGACAGGCTTAAAACTTTGATCCTCCTTGGTGATCTTGACTTGCCTTTTGCTTTTTCTTATTTTCTCGTGTGCAAACTTAAGTGTTTTTTTGTTCTGCCTGTAAGAAAACAGGCCTCTATAATAGAGTCATTAGCTGTGGTTTAATGGCTGTAGCTGTCTTCAATATGCCCGAGACACTCGGAGTTCTCGTGACTTTCCCATGGTCCTCATCAATGCACTTGGGTGGTAATCGGCCAATGATCGTGCTCATCACATTTATCATCCCCGTGGCCTTTTAGCTCCTCCGAACACATGTAACATCTCAGATACTTTCCATGTGAAGATCTAATAGCTTTTAGATAACAGTCGGAGGAATGCTTTGATCTGATTGCTTATGGTGTAAACAATGATAAGATGCAATCAGATTTTAGTAGAACTGCTAGCTCGCTCTGAGCTCCTGAGTGATCACTGATGACCCTATGCATGTTCCTGAGGATATGTGGACAACGTTGTGCTATCAGCTGCAATTGTTGACTGCTTGCAGATGTACTGGCCCATCTCCTCATCGCTTCGTATTAGTGATTAAGCCACAGAACAATGACTTGGGTACATCGTAAAGAAAAACAGGAAAGCCTCACTGTTTTTCCTTCACTCCATTTCCTTTGATTCTTCAAAGGTCTAGCAAATTGTAAATCTAAAAGCATATTAAGAAAAGATTGTAGATGCTGACACATGATGCTTCTGGAGCCCATTCAAAGCTATCATATTTTGATTTCATCTTTTTTTTTTAATTCCCCCGTGTTGCTTTAATCAATGAGAGGCTGGAGTCGCTGATCTGTACTCCAGTGCCTCAGTTCCCCCTTCAGTCAGTTGGTGTGGAAAATCCATGTCATCTGACTCCCCTCCGCTGGTTCTGATTAGGGAGAAGTGCTCCGGGAGTTCTGGATCCCGGGTCTCTCGCTCCCATTAACCACGGTCAGGCCAGATTCCACGCTCATCGCTCTCACACCTCGTCACATTCCCGTCCAGTCGCTGCACAAACCGTGCTGTTAGGAGCTGGCCGGTGGAGTTGGGCTATAAGATCGAGAAAGAACAGAGTGAGACAAAGCTTATTTTTCTCCAGTTGATCATACACTCAGCTCCAAATGTGTTAAACTTCTGGCACATAGTTGTAATGATAAATGCTTTTGGAAGCCAGATCTGAAGATATGTTAAATAGGATGTTCCAGATCACAAATCATCGTTGTTTTGTCATCTTAGAGGGATGTATTTTTAATATATTTTTATGTTCCTCTCTGTGGATGTTATGACATTAAAAGTGTTGTGAAAATCCTTCTTAAGCCTTCTTAAATCATTTTATTTCACTCTAAGCAAACCTGCCTTTTGAGAGCTGGCTGATAAAATTGGTTATAGACCCAGAAGAAAGAGTGTCAAATTGGTTGGTGTTTTTCTGGTGAAATAATATAAGTCAGATCTAATCCTGTTTTAAAGGATAATTACGATTTTTTTACAACTTGGATCAGGTTTTCGTAGGTTTGGCCGTTGCTTTTGTCTATTCTGATAACGTTGCGTTCGCCAAAGTAATGGGCCTTTTTTTTACGACGTTTTAACGTCTCCTAGCAAGAAAAACAAAAGTGGAACTAATAACGTTAATAAAGGCTGCATTCCAGTTAGGTGCAGTTCCAGACCCCTGGTGTTGTCCGCCCTGGCTCACTGTCAAGTCTTACTAGTACACCCAAATGGAGCAGAGCCATCGTTAATCATTAGTTCGACCTGTTCTTTTCCTGCTATGACATGTCAAAGTGACTGCTGTGAAAAAGGTCTAATGCTGAGATCTGAGAGCATGGCAACATCGCTTAAAAAGAACTTCCTGCATCAACTTTGACTACTGTACTCAGTTGTTTGGGTGCCCAGGTGACTGCACGGCATTTTTATCTCTTGTCCCGTGTCCAACATGTTGAGATGATGTTCCACTCTTTGGCTCTAGTTTTCGAAACTCAAACCACTGCAGGACTAAACTGTGGCTTTTGTCCAATGGCTGTGAAGAAAGCAGGAAAGCTTGTCATCACAGAGCTGCATTTAATGTCAATCAAACTGTGCACACATAGGTCAACAGCAGGTAGACCTGTCACCGTTTTTGCTACGCTATGCCCAGTGGGGAAAATTGCAAGTCAGAAGCTATGTAGATTTAGGTGGAATATGATGGAGACCACCACAATGAAAAGGAAATGCAGCTAAAACGAAGTCTGGGAAACTACTGGAAGGCAATTTCTCAGAAAGGTATCTTTTAATTATACATGGACAAAGTGTCACCGTACACGTGACTCTCAGCAACCTGTCTGTTTTGCTTTATTGTGCACCGTTTAGTCGGGTTCGGCCCTCAAATCAAGGACTGACTTTCTCAAAAGATTTCAATATTAAAGGTCCAGTGTGTAAAATGTAGGAGGATCTATTGGTAGAAATTGAATATAATAATATAATATTCATAAATGTGTTTTCATTAATGTATATCACCTGAAAAGAAGAATCGTTTTGGGGGTTTTCTTTAAGCGTTTTGCAGCCACCATAGTTTCCCCCTTGCACTTGGAAAGGGAGGGTGAAGCGAGTGAGTTAAAATCTTCAACTACACCACTAGATGCCACTATATCCTACACACTGGACTTTTAATGCATATGTGCAGAGAATTAAAAGCTCAACAGACATAGCAACACTAAAAGAGGTGAACTCTGAAAAATAAGATCCAATATTTAAGTTATCCTTTAATTTAACATGTAAGTGTAACATTGAAAGTATTTAAATGCAGAGCTCATGTATGTGAAAGTATTTGCAGAAAGTAGAAACCCTGGCCTTTCTTCTTGCTCTCCTCTGTGGCATACATCCTTTTTTTCTGCTCTCAGTGGTATATATTTTTAAAAGTTTCAAGAAATGAAAATCTTTTATATTTTCTCCCTCATGCATGCTGCTACATCAAAAGCTCTGTCAAAAGCCTTATTAAAGTCCACGACCCATTTATGAAAAAGTCCAGGTAGAGCATGAAGCATAAATCTGAGTGAGGAACAAGCCTGTGGTTAAAACAAAGTAAAGCTCCTTGAACTGCAGCCCTTTTGAAAGATGGAAAACAGGTCAGTCTTAGGCCTCATCAAGAAACTAAATCAAAGTAGGGAGTCGCTGTAGACTAAGGAATGGAGTCAGGGGAGTGAAAACCATTAAAAGTGCATTGTGCAGGCGGTCTGCAGAGAGAAAAAAAAAGAAGAAAGAGATAGAGAAGAGAGGAATCACAAAAGCAAAACAACCACAACAGTGAAGTTCGTCTTTAAAAAAAAAAAAAACACACACTGAGTGAATGAGAGAATGTAAATCTATGGTCTGCTTTTGTCTAACGTGTGGTTTAGCGTAGATCTGTCCAATATCATGCACCATAAATCTCAAAGTAGGCCTTATTGGTTCACAAGCTTCAGAGGACTTGACATTAACACAAATTTGTGAAAAAAGAAAGTGCCTTCATTCTGTGGCAGTCCCCCCCCCCGCCCGCCTTCAGGGGAAAATTGCTTCCGTCTGTTGATTGAACAAGCCATAAAATAACATGGGAGTCACGAAAATCCTCCACCAGATTTTGTGATTCTTAGAATCAAATTAAATGTGGTGAATTCAGATTGCCGTTTACTTTATGCTCTGTTTATTTGACCTTGAAGTTGACTCGAACAGAAACGCAGCCCAGGATTTTTCCCTCGTGTGGAGCATCCTTGTGGGAAGTTCAGGATCCAGGATATTTTTACGAGTGTCGTCATTTTTAAAGAAAATGGCAGCTGATGCTAAATTTGAAACCTTCCCGACTTCCTTTTTACCATTTGTCAAATCATCGATGTTGTAACTCCTTCATGACGGGTCTGTTTCTTACTTTGTTGCCATTGTTACAAGTGGAACAACATGGGTATGGTTCAACTTTGTCCCACTAGTTTGAACCGGCTGCTAACGCTAACTGGATGCTGCTGGCAGTCCCATAAACCGAAGCGCTGGTCTACAAACATTTGGATGACTCAAACGGAGTCGTGACTATAGAGAGAAAAGATAAACACGAACAAATGTGAATCTGCGTGGGGATGTCTGAGTTTGTTATTGCAGGATCTTACTACTGAGCTCACGTAATGAGTGAGGTAGCGTGTTGCTAGCGTGTCTGTCTGTAATTTTCTGTTCTTTAACAAATGACCTCCCTGTCTGTCCTCCTCCTCCTCTTCTTCCCTCCTCTCTCTCTCTCAGGACACAGAGCGTTGGGAGAGGTCAGTCTTGAAGGTCGCTGAGATCACATCAGCCCTGATCCGGGAGAGGAGCCCTGCCCTGGTGGGACAGCTTCTGCAGGCGTGAGGGGAAGCAGCACCACCAGGAAATCCCCCTCGGTGTGCCACATGAACGCTGCATGGATGAGACGTCCTTTTTGTCTGTTCTAAATCCATCTCTTTATCAGATATAACAAGGTTAAAGGGATACTCCCACGATCAAGTCCTGCTGCCCCATAAAGTTTGGGGACTTTCTAGAGATCAACTTGAAAAAATAGCTTTTAAAATCAAAGCAGCAGAGGCAGAGATATCCTGAGTTTTATTCCCAGGTGTGCTTCAAGCTCCACAATCCTTAACTTTCTATCCAATTCAGTAGCATCATTTTGCTGAATCCTACCCTGCCTGGTAAACCGGACTGTTGTAACGCAGGTTTCTGCTAAAAATGTGGCAGTGAAAGGTTCAGCTAGTCTTTACTATAGTCAACCAACATTTAACCGCAGTGGTTTAGTCTAAAACATGTTTGGTTGGTAAAATGGCAGATGCACCAGTAATGTGGACCAGTCTCCTCTCCACATTAGTCACAAAAACTTCCCCGTATTTGCAATCACTGATGAGAAGTTAAAACTGACTGATTTTAAAGCTGCTGTATGTTTTTCTTGTTTTTTAGTCCCCAGTTTTGTCCTCTTCAATAAACCACAAAAGAGCAGGGAGGATCATAGTTCATGTGAATGATTGAGTGTGTTTAAGTAGCACCTATGCGAACACTGTCACTGCTGTAAGTTGGAGGCTACCTATCATCCAGGCTTTGTATAAGCAACAAATGTGTTTACGATAATCATTTGGTAACCACGGTAGTCATATTCACTGCTTGAATCGGACTTTATTGTAGCAGTTCCCTTCCTAAAATTACTGTGAAAGACGCCTCTGTTTCGTCCTGTTCATACGTGGTCGTCATTATTCATTAAACGAGTGCTGACTAATAATGCTCATAATCAGTTATTTCTATTTGTGGGCTTTGTGGGCACCAGATATTTGAAATGATATACATGAGAAGCAGTAAAGTGCAGAATGACCTGCTGTCAGACTTTGATTTCATGGGTCCTGCTGATGATCGCAGGATGACAGCCCCCAAAACCGTCAGTCCAGATGAGCTGATACTTACTGTTGTAAAAGATGTGTATGAACATGAACAACAGTATATACCCCCACCCCCCAAAATGCTGTCAAATGGTTTATCAGTGAGATGAAGTGAGTGATTGAGGAGCACGTTGGGTGCTATTGATAACAGTACAACTACTGTACTGGATAAAGTGAACACTAATGTATTAAGAGGGTGTTATATTTTTGTACTCCATTAAAACAATAAATATGGTGTAATAAAGATGTTTTTCGTATTATGTCCTGTTCTTTTGAGTTTTTTTCAGGAAATCTATCTACAGAATATTCAGATTTTACCATAAACCCTAAATTCACTAATGTTGTAACAAATGTCTTGCTCATGAGCACTTCAGCCACCTCCTGGCTCTGCAAACACACATTCAGGTTTGTTAGAAGATTCCTAAAGTTCCTAAAGTTTAGATTCAGGTCTGGTTGTCTGTCTGCGACCTCATGCATCACTGAAGGCCTTACAGGACCAGTGTATAGGATTTGCATATTGCAACTCACTCGCTTCACCCTCCCTTTCCAAGCGCAAGGGAGAAACTACGATGGCCGATTATACACTAATGAAAACATACCTGCGAATATTATATTCCATTCCTGCCAATAGATCGTCATAAACATTACACACCGAACCTTTAATGGATGCTTTAATGCAGCTTCATACAGAGGAGGCTCCAGTTTCCTGCAGTGAAGCGGCTCTAAAACCACCAGACCCTGCAGCATAATTACTGTGCAGAGGCCGGTGATGGGGGGGGGGGAGAGAGCGATGACCTCCCTCAGGTAGACGTGTGTCATGCTTTCTTTCCACAAGACAAGATGCATGATGATGATGACTAGCACTGGGCTGCTCCCAGTCAGCCCAAGTGGATGTTCCTGTCTAAGAATTAAATGAACCTGCAAGAGAAGCTGAAATCAAACAGGCCAGAGGGTCGTCATGAGTGAAATAACAAGCACTTATGTCCTTCTGTGATGTATGTTCAGAGAAATCTTGGATTTGGCTCCTCTCTTCTTGCTTTCTTTTTGGTTGAGATCCGATTTAGATCATCCACAAAATACAGTGATATTTATCTCATGTTGAAGGTAAAATCTTAATCTGCAGATTAACTAGTGATTACAGCTGTCAGAGGGATGCAGTGGAGTAAAAGTGCAATATTTTTCCTCACTAATGTGATGGAGGAGAAGCGGAAAAGTACATTAATTGAGTAAATGTTCACTGTAATGTTCCATCTCTGATGAGAACAACAAAATGTCAATATATTAATCTGAAAATGTGACAAACATTAACCTTTGTGTATTCACAGAGGTGACTGCAGCGGCCCTCAGGATCATGTATTTGTCACAGGAAGGAGGGAAAACAGCGTTGCACATCAAAGAGTCTCTAAAAGTGTTGATGCCGGAACATTCCTTAGATGGCCACAAAGGCCTCGTCGCTGTGTGTACGCCTCTCACACTTCCAGGGCATCTCCAGTTTCCTGCACTCCTCCGTCCTCTGCAGCTTGCTGGAATTCCAACTGTTGATAGAGAGCCGCCCCAGGCGAGAGAAGCTCCGTCTTCGGATTCCTGTAATGAACATATGCTTATATTTCATGGATATCTCAGGAGATTGTAACCCGCTGTGACATACAATGAGTGCTGCCAGCTACTAATAGTGTAACATGTGTGCAAGCATCTGCATTTGTTGTGTTTTTATTCATTCACTCAGGATTTCCCTTTTAATTTGTTGCCCATCTGTATGTTGTTGGTTTTTTTCCTCTTCACTGTACCTCTGGGTACGCTGTGTTAAAGGAGAAGCCTGGCCTTTTTTAAAATATTTCTCTTATTGTCAACAAAACCAAAAAGCCAACCAACCATCAGCGATGTGTTAGATGTATAGATCTTTAAATCTTTCAATTTCAGGGAAAGTATCAGTATTGTGTCATTTAAAAGAAGAAGGAGAAGGTTTTCAGTTACAGTTGGAAAACTGTTCAATTCACTGATTAACAAGAGGAATGAAAAGTCTGTGTGGAAGGACATTATCAATGACTATTACCATTCCTGGAGCAGTGATCAGGTGTCAGGCTGTGGTGAAGATGTGTACACAATGTATTCCTTTGAGTATAGTGACACCTGGTGGACATAATGGTTAATACGTCTGCTATGAGGGGATTGTTAGACACATCTTCTCCACTAGGGGGCCATATTGGACTTGTCTGAACTTTGCAAGGGTTTCTGCTACTGTGGCAAATTGTGGATAATGTTTTGCTAAGATGATGAAGATGATGAGGTTTTCATTATCTGTTCCTTTTATGATGAAGGTCACTGAGCCCTTTGATGACAGTCAGTAGGAAATATCAGTCTTGGGTTTTTTTAAAGTGTTGACAGGAAAAAAACAGCTTTTAAAAAATCCTGACGTGGGTTTAAGGCTCTGACAGTGAACCGCAATGTCTGCAGTTGGAGTCTGGATGGAGATCTTTGTTGCATGTGGTTCCACATATCTGTCTCCTCCTGTCAGCTCTCTACTGTCAAATCTCTAATAAAGACATCAAAAAACCCCTTTGACCTATGATTGTCATCCTTCAGAGAGAAAAACTTGGCCTGCAGCTATTTCAAACTTTCTTGGAAACACACGAGTGTAATATTTTGGAGTAGTATTAGGATCTATCTCTTTTTAATTTCCTCAGCCTAGGATTAACCCCCCCATAACGCTGTAGTTGTAGGTGCTGCCAGGTGGTTCGGTCCTGGTTGTTGTAGCTGCTGTAATGTGTTGTTGTCTGAGCCACACTAGCTGAATGCTAACCAGAGCCACGGGCCTTGGCTGATACCTCAGACCAGGTCCTGTTTAGATAAGGCCACCGCTGGTGCTTCAGGGAGGGGAGACTGAAGCCAGATGCCACAGTTTGACTGTCTGTAGGTCTGCCAGGCTCAGACAGCACGTCGTCACCCTGACCGGCCGGCCGCAATATTTCTGGCCTTGGTATGATTATGGCTTTGGTATTCAGCGGTGGAGGAAGTATTCAGATCCTTTACTCAAGTAAAAGTACTAATACCAAACTCTTGCTCATTTTAACTGCTTTATATACTGTTGGGTAGTTTCATCTAAAGCCATACATCATATTCTGTAAGATCATCATATGTTTGTAGCGTCGCTGTCATCTGAGATCAACGTATCTCTAAAAAGTCAACTTTTATGTGCTAATCTGAGCAGGTTTTTAAATAATTATAATATAATAATTTAGCTTAAGAAGCAGGATAATTTTCTCAATCAATAAAGGAATGATTAATCTTTCAGTTCATCACAAATATTCATATCACCTAATTTAGAGATTCATGCTTTTCACTGGACAGGATGGGTATGAAATATTGCAGTCTGAAAAGTAACTAAAGCTGTCATACAAATGTAGTGGAGAAACAAGTACAATATTTGCCTCTGAGATGTAATTGAATCAAAGCATAAAGTATAGCATAAAATGAAAATGATCATATATAAAATAATATGTACAAGAACCTCAAATCTTTGCAGGATTCAGTGACATCAAGTGGGGAAGTTGCAGATTGCAACCATTTGAAAACAGCTCAGCCTTCCAAGCATATATATATTATATATATATAATTCTTATTTTCATGTGATTATACACTACTAAATATCTGCCAACAGACCTTCTTAACTGTTACACACTGAACCTTTAAGTAAATGTACTTTGTTACATTCCCTCCACTGTTGGTATTGCAATAGAGCCCTGTGCTCTGTGCCCATACAACCACTTTCACTGCAAGTTTTCCGCGTGTGTCTCAAAGTGCACCCGGGTTCGAAATGAATGTGACAACCCTAAATTTAGATTCCCGTGTGCAAATTCATCCTGGCCCGAAGGATTCCCAAATCTGGATCACAATAAAAGTGGCTCATCCGCGCCAGCAACGCCTCACATTGGGGCACACGGAGAGAAACCACAAGAAAGCACTTCTTCCTGGAGACTACAAAACAAACACAGCGAGAAGGTCAAAAGAGCAGACTAAGAATATGAGGACTTTGGACTGTTCAGGAAGCTTTGTGAGGTGGGACGCCAAATACAATAACGCAGCCGTGAATACAGGAGGGAAGGTGTTCAGGAATTTGACCTCATGAAGTCATTGCAAACCCACAATGTCTGGTTCCCGGAGTATGAAACTCACTCGGATTTGTTCCGTGGGATTGTTTGTGTTGCTGTAGTTATAACACAATGCCGTCAGGGTTGGATTTCCATGGATTCCCACCAATGCTAACAATATAAACATAAATTTAATATAAATGTTTGCAGCACTGGAAGTCACTTCAGATTAAAGCGCCCCAAAAAGTGGCACCTGAGCTCAGAGAGAAACATCTGTGGACAATAGTGCCATCTGGTGGAGATTACCCTTGAATTTCATGGTGGATTTCAAACAAATACTCAACAGTCTAACCACAGAGTCTAAGCAATTGTATGCAAGTTTGCTGTCTCACATACAGCCACAATTATTGCAATTGAAGGTGCTGTAAAATTCTGATTAAGAGATCCAGCAAGCTACAGCGGAACAGATGGATGTTAAAACGACTGCTGTGAGATCACAGTGCGGAGGAGCTGCAGTGTAAACACGTTGGGGGTGATGTCAGTGTGTGGAGAAATGAGTTTATACAGAATTTGGGGAGTTAAGCTGTGATTGTGGTGGTCTGGATGAGGTTTAGAGACCAAGCGAGTCTGGGAAAATCCAAGAGGGAGAGAATTTAATGACACATGCTCCTCTTGCTAAGGCTCCAACACTATGATGTCTTTTGAGAAAAGCACCTAAAAACGCTGGAAGAAGAGCGACCTGCGATAGATGGGTGATTTTAATGATCAGATGTGGTTTTGTGTTACCGTCTTTTGCTGCCTGTAACATCCTGGTGTGGACGACTTTTCAGGTCATATTAGGTTGTGTTCATATTAAAATGAGCCATAAATAAAAAACAGCTAATTTTATGCCAACAAAAACACAATAATTCTTATTTTCAGGTGATTATACACTAATGGAAACATCCCTATGAATATTATATTCCATTCCTGCCGATAGATCCTCATAAATGTTACACACTGGACCTTTAAGTAAGGTTTTGAATGCAGGATTATTACATGTAGATGAGTATTTCCACAGTGTACAAGTACTTTTATTGAAGTAAAGGCTCTGAATACTTCTTCCACCTGTGTTATAAATCAGGACTCAACTTAGAAGGCAATTGGCCAAACATAAGAACATGTAATCAAGA